TCTGTGTCAATTGTAGGTATACACCGGACACTAACCTCTGTGTCAATTGTAGGTATACACAGGATACTGTAACGTCTGTGTCAATTGTAGGTATACACGGGACACTGTAACCTCTGTGTCAATTGTAGGTATACACAGGACACTGTAACCTCTGTGTCAATTGTAGGTATACACAGGACACTGTAACCTCTGTGTCAATTGTAGGTATACACAGGACACTGTAACCTTTGTGTCAATTGTAGGTAAACACAGGGCCCTGTATACTCTGTGTCAATTGTAGGTATACACAAGACACTAGCCTGTGTGTCAATTGTAGCTATACACAGGATACTGTAACCTCTGTGTCAATTGTAGGTATACACAGGACACTAGCCTCCGTGTCAATTGTAGGTTTACACAGGGCCCTGTAACCTCTGTGTCAATTGTAGGTATACACAGGACACTGTAACCTCTGTGTCAATTGTAGGTATACACAGGGCCCAGTAACCTCTGTGTCAATTGTAGGTATACACAGGGCCCTGTAACCTCTGTGTCAATTGTAGGTATACACAGGACACTAACCTCTGTGTCAATTGTAGGTATACACCGGACACTAACCTCTGTGTCAATTGTAGGTATACACAGGATACTGTAACGTCTGTGTCAATTGTAGGTATACACGGGACACTGTAACCTCTGTGTCAATTGTAGGTATACACAGGACACTGTAACCTCTGTGTCAATTGTAGGTATACACAGGACACTAGCCTCTGTGTCAATTGCAGGTTAACACAGTGCCCTGTAACCTCTGTGTCAATTGTAGGTATACACAGGACACTAGCCTCTGTGTCAATTGTAGGTTTACACAGTGCCCTGTAACCTCTGTGTCAATTGTAGGGATACACAGGACACTAGCCTCTGTGTCAATTGTAGCTATACACAGGGCCCTGTATACTATGTGTCAATTGTAGGTATACACAGGACACTGTAACCTCTGTGTAAATTGTAGGTATACACAGGGCCCTGTATACTCTGTGTCAATTGTAGGGATACACAGGACACTAATCTCTGTGTCAATTGTAGGTATACACAGGACACTAACCTTTGTGTCAATTGTAGGTATACACAGGACACTAGCCTCTGTGCCAATTGTAGGTATACACAGGACACTAACCTCTGTGTCAATTGTAGGTATACACAGGACACTGTAACCTCTGTGTCAATTGTAGGTATACACAGGACACTAGCCTCTGTGTCAATTGCAGGTTAACACAGTGCCCTGTAACCTCTGTGTCAATTGTAGGTATACACAGGACACTAGCCTCTGTGTCAATTGTAGGTTTACACAGTGCCCTGTAACCTCTGTGTCAATTGTAGGTATACAGAGGACACAAGCCTCTGTGTCGACAGTAGGTATACACAGGACACTAGCCTCTGTGTCAATTGTAGGTATACACAGGACACTAACCTCTGTGTCAATTGTAGGTATACACAGGATACTGTAACCTCTGTGTCAATTGTAGGTATACACAGGACGCTGTAACCTCTGTGTCAATTGTAGGTATACACAGGACACTGTAACCTCTGTGTCAATTGTAGCTATACACAGGGCCCTGTATACTATGTGTCAATTGTAGGTATACACAGGACACTGTAATCTCTGTGTCAATTGTAGGGATACACAGGACACTAACCTCTGTGTAAATTGTAGGTATACACAGGACACTAGCCTCTGTGTCAATTGTAGGTATACACAGGACACTAGCCTCTGTGCCAATTGTAGGTATACACAGGACACTAGCCTCTGTGTCAATTGTAGGTATACACAGGATACTGTAACCTCTGTGTCAATTGTAGGTATACACAGGACACTAGCCTCTGTGTCAATTGCAGGTTAACACAGTGCCCTGTAACCTCTGTGTCAATTGTAGGTATACACAGGACACTAGCCTCTGTGCCAATTGTAGGTATACACAGGACACTAACCTCTGTGTCAATTGTAGGTATGCACAGGACACTAACCTCTGTGTCAATTGTAGGTATACACAGGACACTAGCCTCTGTGTCAATTGTAGGTATACACCGGACACTAGCCTCTGTGCCAATTGTAGGTATACACAGGACACTAACCTCCGTGTCAATTGTAGGTATGCACAGGATACTGTAACCTCTGTGTCAATTGTAGGTATACACAGGACACTAGCCTCTGTGTGAATTGCAGGTTAACACAGTGCCCTGTAACCTCTGTGTCAATTGTAGGTATACACAGGACACTAGCCTCTGTGTCAATTGTAGGTATACACCGGACACTAACCTCGGTGTCAATTGTAGGTATACACAGGACACTAGCCTCTGTGTCAATTGTAGGTTTACACAGTGCCCTGTAACCTCTGTGTCAATTGTAGGTATACACAGGACACTAGCCTCTGTGTCAATTGTAGGTTTACACAGTGCCCTGTAACCTCTGTGTCAATTGTACGTATACGCAGGACACTGTAACCTCTGTGTCAATTGTAGGTATACACAGGACACTGTAACCTCTGTGTCAATTGTAGGTATACACAGGACACTGTAACCTTTGTGTCAATTGTAGGTATACACAGGGCCCTGTATACTCTGTGTCAATTGTAGGTATACACAAGACACTAGCCTGTGTGTCAATTGTAGCTATACACAGGATACTGTAACCTCTGTGTCAATTGTAGGTATACACAGGACACTAGCCTCCGTGTCAATTGTAGGTTTACACAGGGCCCTGTAACCTCTGTGTCAATTGTAGGTATACACAGGACACTGTAACCTCTGTGTCAATTGTAGGTATACACAGGGCCCAGTAACCTCTGTGTCAATTGTAGGTATACACAGGGCCCTGTAACCCCTGTGTCAATTGTAGGTATACACCGGACACTAACCTCTGTGTCAATTGTAGGTATACACCGGACACTAACCTCTGTGTCAATTGTAGGTATACACAGGATACTGTAACGTCTGTGTCAATTGTAGGTATACACGGGACACTGTAACCTCTGTGTCAATTGTAGGTATACACAGGACACTGTAACTTCTGTGTCAATTGTAGGTATACACAGGATACTGTAACCTCTGTGTCAATTGTAGGTATACACAGGGCCCTGTATACTCTGTGTCAATTGTAGGTATACACAGGACACTAGCCTCTGTGTCAATTGTAGGTATACACAGGATACTGTAACCTCTGTGTCAATTGTAGGTATACACAGGACACTAGCCTCTGTGTCAATTGTAGCTATACACAGGGCCCTGTATACTCTGTGTCAATTGTAGGTATACACAGGACACTGTAACCTCTGTGTCAATTGTAGGTATACACAGGACACTGTAACCTCTGTGTCAATTGTAGGTATACACGGGACACTGTAACCTCTGTGTCAATTGCAGGTATACCCAGGACACTGTAACCTCTGTGTAAATTGTAGGTATACACAGGACACTGTAACCTCTGTGTCCATTGTAAGTTACACAGGACACTGTAACCTCTGTGTCAATTGTAGGTATACACAGGACACTGTAACCTCTGTGTCAATTGTAGGTATACACAGGACCCTGTAACCTCTGTGTCAATTGTAGGTATACACAGGACACTAACCTCTGTGTCAATTGTAGGTATACACAGTACACTAACCTCTGTGTCAATTGTAGGTATACACAGGACACTAACCTCTGTGTCAATTGTAGGTATACACAGGACACTAGCCTGTGTGTCAATTGTAGCTATACACAGGATACTGTAACCTCTGTGTCAATTGTAGGTATACACAGGACACTAGCCTCCGTGTCAATTGTAGGTTTACACAGTGCCCTGTAACCTCTATGTCAATTGTAGGTATACGCAGGACACTGTAACCTCTGTGTCAATTGTAGATATACACAGGACACTGTAACCTCTGTGTCAATTGTAGGTATACACAGGACACTGTAACATTTGTGTCAATTGTAGGTATACACAGGGCCCTGTATACTCTGTGTCAATTGTAGGTATACACAAGACACTAGCCTCTGTGTAAATTGTAGCTATACACAGGATATTGTAACCTCTGTGTCAATTGTAGGTATACACAGGACACTAGCCTCTGTGTCAATTGTAGGTATACACAGGACACTAGCCTCTGTGTCAATTGTAGGTTTACACAGTGCCCTGTAACCACTATGTCAATTGTAGGTATACACATGGCCCTGTAACCTCTGTGTCAATTGTAGGTATACACAGGGCTCTGTAACCTCTGTGTCAATTGTAGGTATACACCGGACACTAACCTCTGTGTCAATTGTAGGTATACACAGGATACTGTAACGTCTGTGTCAATTGCAGGTATACACGGGACACTGTAACCTCTGTGTCAATTGTAGGTATACACAGGACACTGTAACATCTGTGTCCATTGTAAGTTACACAGGACACTGTAACTTCTGTGTCAATTGTAGGTATACAAAGGATACTGTAACCTCTGTGTCAATTGTAGGTATACACAGGACACTGTAACCTCTGTGTCAATTGTAGGTATACACAGTACACTAACCTCTGTGTCAATTGTAGGTATACACAGGACACTAACCTCTGTGTCAATTGTAGGTATACACAGGACACTGTAACCTCTGTGTCAATTGTAGGTATACACAGGACACTGTAACCTCTGTGTCAATTGTAGGTATACACAGGACACTGTAACCTCTGTGTCAATTGTAGGTATTCACAGTACACTAACCTCTGTGTCAATTGTAGGTATACACAGGACACTGTAACCTCTGTGTCAATTGTAGGTATACACAGGACACTGTAACCTCTGTGTCAATTGTAGGTATACACAGGACACTAACCTCTGTGTCAATTGTAGGTATACACAGGACACTAACCTCTCTGTCAATTGTAGGTATACACAGGACACTGTAACCTCTGTGTCAATTGTAGGTATACACAGGACACTGTAACCTCTGTGTCAATTGTAGGTATATATAGGGCACTGTAACCTCTCTGCTATTTTTAGGTATGTTTGGGTTCATCCTCTTGGTTATCCTGCTTATCCCGTTCTACTTCGTGGATGTTGGGGCATTTAACACCTTGCCCAAACACCGCCTGGAGGATCCGTATGACGCATTCTGTCAGATGCAGAAGGACCACAATATCATTGCAGCCTTTCTAGGTAACGTGTTCATCATGCTACATTTAACTAGATCTTTTACTACTGCTCACACAGATCTCTGGAAGGTACACGAACTGTCGCAGAAACCTATCGCAGTACGAAGTGTATTTAGTTTTACTCCATCAATTCAATGTATATGTTTTCTTAATTTATCAGTGTTAAGTGTCCACTTGTAAACCCTCGACAGCCTCTTGAGACATGGGTTAGATGTTGATGGAGCAGCAGGTACCAGTGCTTCGTGTGTTTTCTGGCCTTGGTTATTTGTGATCGATAACCCCAGTTTTATGCATTGATGTTAATCCTTTCCGGATGAGGTAAAAAACTACCGGCCAGTAAAATTTCAGTCTTTCATTTCAAAATGTTTGGAGAAAATTGTTTCACGAAGGCGTGAAGAACACCTACTCAACAACGACCTGTTTGAACCCTTCCAGAGTGCTTATAAATCCAAACATAACACAGAGACTGCGCCTTTTCGTGTCCACAACGACATCATGAGGGCAATGGACCAGCAGAAAGTCACCCTGCTGGTCCCTCACGATTTATCATCAGCCTTCGACACTATAGATCACACGATCCTGCTTTCTCGTTTAGGGGGAAAATGTGATGTTACAGGAAACGCTCTTTCTCGGGTAAAGTCCTATCTGTCCACCAGAACTCAGGTTGTCAAAACTGGCGATGTTACCTCACTTCCGACAACAGTTAACGTTGTGTTCCGCAGGGTGCAGTTCTGGGGCCTTTGTTTTTCAGCATATATATATTCTTCCAATAGGCGATATAATCAGGAAACACGGATTGATCTTCCATCTCTATGCTGACGATAATCAGATTTCCTTATCCGTAAAGCCACCTGAAGCCGCTTCTTTAATCAGTCAAATTGAAGCCTGTGTGAGCGAGGTTAGATCCTGGATGACTCTGAATTTGCCCAAATTAGATGACAATAAAACGGAATTTCTACTACTTGATTCTAAACAGCAGCGTTTGCCTGCAGGTCTGTCACTGAACATTGGCAACAGCAATGTTAGAACCATCCCATCTGCAAGAAATCTTGGAATCAAGATTGCCAGCATGTCCCTTGAAAACATGCCAAGAACTTGAGCAAAACTTTCTTATTCCACATCCACATCAGTAAAATCCGTCATCTTCTTGACCATAAAACAACAAAACGTATTATCGTGTCACTATCTGAGAAGCCTTGTCAGCATATTACCAACCAACCCGTACTCTCTGCTCTGTCGACTATCTTCGCCTGTCAGTCCCAGTCGCGCAAACATCAATGGGTGATCGAGCCTTCTCTGCCTTAGCTACTCTACTTTGGAACGGACTACCTCTTCCTTTATCTCTGACAAACCTCATTTTAAGACTTTTTAAAGACACACCTCTTCAAGCAAGCCTTTGACTAGCTATTCTTATCTCACTGAATTACTTTTTCGTATATCTAATGTACACAGAGCCACTGAGCAACCTGCGGATGGACGTTAGGCGCTAGGGAACAGGTCGAAATGGCCACTCGAAAAAATGGCCACACAAAAAAAGTCATATGGCCACAACCCCTAGTCAAAATGGCCATACCCAAAAGTCAAAATGGCCATACATCATTTTTTTTTCATATTAATGAGTATTGTTCTTGAAATGCTTCCTTAATTGATACTTTGAGATAGTTACTTATTTAATATTTTGAAATGTTTTTTTTTATCCTGTACTTTGAGATGTTTTCTTATGTTATACTTTGAGCTGTTTAATTACTCTCGCAATGTTTTCTTAATTAATGTAAACTGTTTTCCACGCTATGTGTGTATGTGTTACAGTCAGCGTGTTGTTCTGGCCGGTGTACTACTACTGCGGGATGTCTATCACGAAGCACGTGGATGCAGTGACCCGGATGGGGGTGGACATCAACATACAGATGCTGACATGGGCTGTGTACATCATGGCAACGTGGCAAGCATTCCATCCAATACAGATTCTTGGATTTGGTGTCTTTATTGTCGGGGTCATCGTGTTCTTCCTGGACGCTGACCCCATCATCGCGAGGTTCCAGTCGTGGCGAGAGAGGAGACGAGGGGAGGGAGATGGAGAGGACGAGCCTCTGAACCCCGCAAACCAAGGTATAGTTTGTAAAGGCTGACCAGTCGGTTTCGGATCTTTGAGCGGTAACTATCATATTTCTATGTGTATGGTATTTACTGCCAATTAGTAAGCTGCTCCTGGCTTCAATACAAGCTGCACTCCTTTTGCCGCAAATCATATGTACAACAAAATGTAAGATGGATAAATATTCTGGTCCATATCAATCTATTACATGTGTGCTCCATTTACTGTTTCCTTCAGCAGACCTAACACTATTATGTTTTCAACAGTTGTTCCCGATTATGGTATACAAGAACAAGCCCAACCCCGAAGAAACCGCCCAAGATAGACTGTGAGACTTTCAGATGGATTGAAGCGCAACAACATTAACGCAAAGGATAAAGTGTGAATGTGACTGCTATCAACGATCACCATTATGCTATGTTCTATGTTATAATATGTTGAGAACAAAGGTCTTTGTGACCACGAATAATACCCCACAGCTCCTCGACAATCATAAAGTGTCGTTTATGGATATTGGTGACTAAATACGATTTTCACTACATAATTTCATTACATTTCCCAACTTCGTTTTGTTTGTGAGTAAACACCAACATTCATCTTCGAGATGAACAGGTTCAGAGAACTAAGGGTGAGAAAATTGAACTTGTTTCAATGTACTTGCACACGTTGTACTCATTTACCAGCTTTTTCAGCTGTACTTAAGGAAAGTTCTTCAACAACCCACACTGGTCGTAAGAGACGACTAATATAAGGGCTCCTACTCGCTGACTACTGGTGTATGTATGTTGTCGTATCCCCATGGCGTATGGCAATCCTCACCATACCAGCCATTCGACTGCTCAGTCCAGATTGGATTATTTTCGGACCGCAGCATGTACCGTAAACAACACACAACTGTCCGTTCTAGAACTGTGTTCTGCTGAATGGATGTATTACATTTTTGCCTTTCTCGTTGTACTACTAATACACCTTGTATCCACCATGTATGAGGATTTCCATAGAGAAGGATGGGAAATTTAGAAACTCTTAAGAATGCAGATGTATGTACGAAAGTGGACTTGTGCGTTTACATGTATTGTGTATATAAGACATTGATATCTGCTTTAAATTTTGTGACATATGTGTGTGATAAACTGTAATAAAACACTTGATACTATCTGTCTGAAGCTTATACTTGATGGTCTGATACTCAAAAGATGCTGTTTCCTTGGAGATCTAGTGGTTGACATCAGAATCAGTGTGAAACAATGCTGGTGTGAGCTGTAACATCACGTACTATACAGTGTTAGCCCACTGAGATATGGGAACGTATATGGGAACGCATATGGGAACGTATTGTACTACCCTGTGGTCTATTTGCCTGTAATATGTGGTGTAACATATCAACTAAAGAATACGATATGCTTGAATGTGTGCAAAAGTACTTCGGTAAAAAAGTACAAGGGTTCTCTAAACGCACGTGCTCGGTCATTGCCAGAGACTGTCTTGGACTTGTATCACTACGTGCTTATATTGATCAGAGAGCATTATTGTTCCTGGGAAGACTGCTTAACACTGATATTAGTTTCATTTTCAAACGAATTCTTCACTATAGATTAGCTCAACATGATTGTAAGGATAGTATGCAAAACATGCTGAAGTGTAAATCCTCTCCTTTACACCATATGTTATATCTTACCTGTAAATATGATCTTACTGAATATGTTGACATTTATCGTAACTCATCTGTATTTGTTACCAAAAATCAATGGTCAAATCTTGTAAGAGATAAAGTCTCAAAATTTAAAGCAAATGTCGTTACCTCTGAGCTTAACTACAGAGTCAATCTCCACAGATACGCTCTCCTACGCAATCCAGCTGCTAGTAACAAACTTTGGTTAATAGCTTTTAATGATTCAGATTATTTCTATGACATATCCTACCTTATCCGTGTCGGCACTTTCGCTATACAATCTAAAGAATGCTTATGTGGCACATATGCTTATGACATTGTAAAACATGTATTTCTCTTTTGTCCACAAACGGAATGTAACAGAGAGCGACTACTTAGCTCCCTGACTGATCTATTGGATGTTACAACCTTTGTAAGTGTTTGGAATGATGATGATGATGCACTGATTAGTTTTCTACTTGGAGGAGTGCCAAATGACAACATTAGAGATCTTGATACTGATCTATGGATTCAATGTATGAAAATCACGAGTAAAGCTGTTCATGAATGGAAACGGTTTTTCATCACATGTTACTAGATTTACATCCCCCCCATATATACATATCTTTAAATGTTTTTGTATTGTATAACTTTCATACACTTGTACCTTGTAAAATGTAATATCTGCTAAATCAAGCATATGTATCTTCAATTTTGGAGGAAATAAAGACGATCTATCTATCTATCTATGAGGATTTCCATAGAGAAGGATGGGAAATTTAGAAACTCTTAAGAATGCAGATGTATGTACGAAAGTGGACTTGTGCGTTTACATGTATTGTGTATATAAGACATTGATATCTGCTTTAAATTTTGTGACATATGTGTGTGATAAACTGTAATAAAACACTTGATACTATCTGTCTGAAGCTTATACTTGATGGTCTGATACTCAAAAGATGCTGTTTCCTTGGAGATCTAGTGGTTGACATCAGAATCAGTGTGAAACAATGCTGGTGTGAGCTGTAACATCACGTACTATACAGTGTTAGCCCACTGAGATACCAAGGCACAGATTAACACGGAGGCGCCACGAGACATAGCACAGTAGTATATGACCAGCTGGAGTTTGTTTTATGCCAGAGAGGCTAACGAGTACTCTAATAATTATACTGTACACACAGGTTTAGTTCTACACATGCAAATATAATCACATCACAACAGTTATAGTGGAATGTCACAAAGCGCCAATTTTCAAGCCCTTGCAGAGAGTTACACACTCGTGCCTCGCTGAAATAGAAAAAATGAGCTGTAAGGACGCTGCTTTCACACTTGCTTTACACCAATATACAGCAAAGAATATTTTCCCAAGCACCCAGTTATAATTTTTAAAATCCAAACGCAAACACATTCCCCAAACTCAGGTTGATTGCGTCAGTAATCGTATACCGGTACATATGTTTGAAGCTGGGCCAGTGTTGCTGTTTGGTGAACATCACTTCACTGAATGTATTGCCCTAGTGACAGACACTGCACTTTGTACTGCCACTCTGTACTGCTACTGTGATAGCTTGGCACTCATTTGTCTTGATGTGATAATAAAGTTAATTTGTATAATAAAATTGTTAACTTTAACAAAACAGAAAGTACGAAGAGTGACGATATGGGTAACACATCTTGCTGCGCTGAATTGCTAAATGGAGATGACATAAAACCAATCCATCCTCCATATGACGACTGTATTCAAACTGAATGAGCGTCACCTAGCACATGGCCAGAATGATAATACTAACGTCACATAGTGGAATTAATTTCACTTGAGAGATAGAGATTAACAGGTGCATCTTCATGTTGTTTAGTGTTTATTAATGTTCCTTAAAACTTCTTGACATCATTGTGAGACGGAGAGAGAGAAGGAGACTTTATTCAGGATTACAAATACAAAGTAATTCATGCATATTCCCAAATATGGATATAAATGTACTTTGGTGTGGGAGATCAACTACAAACATACATGCATATTTTCAAGTAAATGGCTAAACCTTTTATTATGTTTACATTTATGCAAGACATGAGTTGAACAAATTTTTGCTGTGTTGGATAATGACGAAAAACATTTGGTATGAGTTTTGTTTGACTTTCCTTAAAGAAAGGACAAACAAGAACAAACTGGAACTCTTCAACAGCTCCTAAATTACAGCGCTCACATATTAAATCGGAATGAGCGGTGTATGTATTAAAATGCACTTTTTGAATTTTCAGACTATGTGACAGACATCTAACTTTTGCAAGTGCTTTAGTCAAATCTCTATCAATATTAGCACTTAAATACTTTTCTTGTTCAAAAACAGTTTTATAAGAAGAATACTTTTTGAGGAATGAAGATGACACAAAGTGTGTGTAGTAAGCCGTAAGCCGACTGACGTCACATATTCAAAAAGGTTGTTTTGTATCAATGCGCCACTAAGATGAGAAAAGACGAAATATGCATCCATAGGTTTCAAAAGTGGTGCCATTGGTGGAGTGTAAAGAAACCCCAGATCACTGTCACCTTGTCTGTCAGATACCAGTCATCTCAAAACGAGTTGTTTCAAAATGTATCTAACAAGCGAAAACAATATGCCGTCTCACAACAACGCATATAACGTCGCTCATTCATGAACGTTGTGTTCGTATTATTGCGCCACTATAGCGACGATGCGATGGGAAAATATTAGTTGTATCTATGCGGCCCGGTACAGCTGCAGTGGTTTCACACGTCAGATATGTTTTGATAAATTGTATCTGACAGACACACTTAGAGCAAAACGGACCCTACACCAATTGCTCTCTGTTATACCAAAGTTAGGGGTTGTTGGTCCCAATATATTTTTCAAATTGTTTGATTCCCAAGTACAATCTATTCTTCTTTATGGGTCTGAAATATGGGGCTACACGGAATTTTATGCCATTGAAAAGGTTCACCTTCTTGCTTCTAAAAGGTTTTTAAATGTTGGTATGTCTACACCTAGTAATATGGTGTACAGTGAATGTGGGAGATTTCCTTTGTACATAATTTCTTACTCTCGCTGCTTAAAGTATTGGTGTAAAAGTTTCAAGATATGATTATTATCGTGAGTTTAAATCTTTACTTGAACCTGAAATCTTCGTAATGTTTTCATACGCCTGAGATTTGGCCTATGAATTGAGAATGAATTACACTTATTTCTTTGTCCTGTATATAATGATTTAAGGCAAATGTATTTTCCACAATGGCTACAAATATTAATGCTACAAAACTGTCTTCAATCCTTTCCTGTAAAGCATCCTTAATTATTACAATTTAAGGTAGCTCTATAAATTTTATTTATCATGCGCCCGTATTGACAAGAGATTTCAGTGTAACGGTACGTGTGTGTCGAATGTTGTACATATTATGCATATATATTTGGTCTTCATGCAATAATCTGATTGAATTGAAGGTCCAAGGAAGTTATTTCTCTGGAGACGATGTTAATGAAGGTCATCCATGTATTCTACGATGTGTGTACTGTCATCAAGTTGGATCACAATCTTTAGTTCATCATCCACACAATCTTCCAGAAGCAAATATCGATGGAGTGTCAGATTATCAAATAGTTTCTTATACATTGTCTCCCATGCTGTAACTTATCACAGACAAGCAGCTGATGATGCACAATGTCGATCATTATTCTTCTAGCGACACACCAGACACAAAACACGACAGGAAGAAAACACTGAACATGTGAAAGTCTGTCCATCCGGATTACAAGGCCACAGTATCTAGAGCGGTCGGGTCCGGTTACCACTCCGACTAAGGGGAGACAACATCCAGTGGAAGTTGATAAGACAGCGAAGACTCGTACATCAAAATTCTATAGAAGCACTAAAAAAACATGACAGTCTATTCTAATAGGAAAAAAAACGGGTAACAGTGGTTTGTTCGGTCAGCTAGCTAGTTTTCTGACTACTTTTCAGTTTTGTGTGTTTGCACATTATGACTCTTTTGAATGTAGGCCGATGCTCTATTCGACTATTTTTCAAAATACCACGGCTGGAATTTTGACGTAGTGCCTATTGCAGTACAGTCTATGGAGTGCCTGGCAGCATTCGTGATTCGTGATTTTTTACGTCATGCACATGGAAGCAAGCGGCAAATTCAAAATGGCACAATTTGATGAAATTTCGAAGTCTTACCTCAATATTTGGTAAGAGTTCGGCCCGTAACACCCGCTTGAAATGTTACATTAATTAATGTATTCTATTTATTGTGATTTTTTCAAGGGGTTTAGGTTTAGGGTTTAGATTTAGCATTATGTTAATTTAAGTTTATGGTTAGGGTAGGTTCTTTTTAATGTTTTTATGGTATTGGAAAATAATTGAAGATATCTTAAATCAATTTCTGATATTGAAAATATTTAATTACTGATATTGTTAAATGTTACTCAGATATCAAGAAAACATTTCAGGTTATCTCTAAGTGTGTTCAAGATATCAATAAATCAAGTACCATCATATTGTTCATAATTATATTTGAAATCAATTCAAGATATCATAAATTCAGTTCATGGTACAATATGTGTCAAACCCATTTCTGGTGTCACTCATGGCCATGATATTGCTGGAATATTTCTAAAGGTGATGTTAAAAAATGCTCACTCATACATACACTTACTCACGCAGGGATATAGTCCTCTTCAGTATTGTCATTCAGTGCCTGACCATAAGTATACATGATTAATGTTTTTGCTTTAGCGTTAGAAACCTAAGTAATATTTTGTAGTTCAACTTGTATCAAGATAAATCTATATCAACATATGATCATGATCCTCTGTAATGGTGGTCCCGGAAGTAATGAGAAATGAACAAACTGAGTCTCCTTTTCTTGGCACTTGAGACTAGATCTTACTACTTAGCTTTTTTAGAGTAAAACTCAGGTTTGTTAAAGTAGCCATTTTAATACAGCAGTAATGTCCATCTGTCACTATGTCAAAACAGTTGGTGGTATCCAGTCTAAGGATCTATATAACATCTGACTGCATGGGTGTTCCAATTTTCGGTTGAGGCTTGAAATCTGCTGTGATAAATATACCAAAGAAGTTGAGAAACTACCAAAAAAATAATGTTAATGGTAAAATGGTTGTTACAGGTCATTCAAACAGTATGGTACTAGGGCAGAACCACACTTGTCTTAATTTATATGACAAAAGTCGTGAAATACTGGTGCAGGCTTACACATTTACGTGAAATACTGGTGCAGGCTTTTACATTTAGATCAATTTAGATTGCCTTTTGAATGCTATATGATGATGAAACCGGTAGATGGTAATGGTAACACTATAACTGGGTCACAGGCATTAAGAACATTCCAATTGAAGTTTGGATTTTGATTTGCTTTGAGAATACCAAATCTTCTAAGTGCAAATTTTATAAACAATTTAAAGTTGAATTCTATCCCACTTGTAATATTCCCATTAAGCAAAGATCTGCTACATCAAGATTTAGATGTAGTAAATTTGGCCTTGCTGTAGAAACTGGAAGATATTCCAACATTTTATGTGTGAAAAGACTTTGTCCATATTGTCTATTGAAGATGAATTTCATGTATCATTTATTTGTAAAAGTTAAGGTACAATGAGAGAAACTTACCTCAGTAATCTGTACCATGTTTACAGAATGAATACCAGTCTGTACAGTACTTTTTAAATGTCTAACAACTCATCAACAAATTATGATACATTGTATAACATTTGCTGTTATCCATACATAGTTCAACTTGGTACAGGTCAGAATAGTGCAACATCATATTTGTAACCATTAAAATGTTTAAAAGGTTTGCTTGTGGTGGTGGTGATCAGACAGCAGTCTGGCAAGTTTCCTTTACCTTCTTTGAAATCTTTACAGAAAGGGTATGCCGGAATGTATCTGAAAGGTTGTTAAACTCTGGTGACCTGGTCTATATTTTCAGATATGTAACAGCTGACACACAACCTAAGGTCACCAAGTAAAGTGTTTTTATCACATGTGACACTCCACAGGTGTCAGATCTACTGGCCAGTACAGTCCGCCCTTTAAGATGGCCAGACACAGCTTGTGTCCGCTAGTGGTTCTGGTCTTGCTGCACCTGTTGGGCAGGAGCACTTCAGCCAACAGCAGTGTGGATATGGCGCAAGTGACCAGTCAGCTGCTGAAACTGGTGGAAGGGTTACAAGTGAAAACCTCAACCAAATTTATACCATTTGTGGAAATGCAGAAAGATAAAGGACTGTATGAGAGTGATGTCAAACTGAACTTCCATGGCCCCCCTGACATGGCCATGGTCAGACAAGACATGAAGCTATTTGACAACAACATGTTTGTTACCTCGTGGGTGACCGCGTGTTTGTTAGAGGCGTTTAAGTATGGTGCAACCCAAGCACCATCTTCCGAACAGCTTCAAATGGCTCTGTCAGCTGTAAATAAATTCAGAAATAAGAACATTCCCCATGCAAACTCCCTGATGGTATTTTGGCCGCAAGTGTACAATGACAGTGTAAAAACATATCAAAGTACTCCGCAAAACCTGATCAGTATGTACAAACTGATGGAACATCTCCCTTTGGGTGGACTGGAGAAACTTCTCAAGTGGTTTGGACTTACAAATCTGGAACATATCATTGAAGACATAATGAACATGGAGTAAGTATCCCTCTGCTTCATTGTTTCTGGTATACTATGTCTCACAGTCCCTGAAACACATTAGTTTCCCTACAGCCTAGCCCTCCCTGCAATGCTAAAGCCCTTATTGAAGCAAGTCTAGATTTCATCAGATTCTGAAACTCCCTTCTCACTGGGCTCCTTTTCAGTCTAAAATTGAAATTATTTGTTTCTATCAAAATTATATATATTCAGAGACTAAGCATTCGTCTATTTCTACTACAGCACATTTGGAAAATACTTAAGGCAAGGTAGATATTCGTGAAGTAGTACCTCTTCTTGACTAGACAGACCAGGACCTTCCATCGTAGACTCATGTACCTCTGGTGTCACTGAGATGTACAGCCATGATCAGATGGTTGGTTGATGCAGTTCATCCAACAATACCCTTGATGAGCACCTCAGTGTCTGCACTGCCTCTATCTCAGAACATGATGAGGGTGTTGTTGCTAAACCTGGCCTTTCCTGAACAGAACAGTCGATGTGGCGTCTGACGATGAGGTTTTACTTGCCTTTGGGGGTAAATTGTAGCCTGTGAGACTTTAGTTTATTGTGATATCAAGAGATAACCCCAACCTGGCTGCACCATCGGCTTATGTCATGGGAAAGTTATGTCCTAATGTTTCAGTTTCCCTTTGGAGATATGTGTATATGTTTTAATTTTTTTGGTTAGGCCACTAAGCTATTGGAGCATATATTACTGTGCATGTGTAATGAAAAGTTGAATTACTATCCAAGTATTTGCAAACACAGTAAAGTTCTTCTTTCTTCTGATATATATTGATCTATTTCTTAATTTCAGAGGCATTTTTCTTAATGCCTTCAGGATACCTCCTGATTTCGATGACACTTTTGTAAACCTTGGTTTGGGAGCACTTTTAACAGACCTGAAGTCATCATTTCCCAACGAGCAGGCTCAGTGGTCACATGATAATGCCAACCTCTCCTCAATCTTTGATGCCCTAAAGCACTACGCTTACAGGCCATTTTCCAACGAGAGTAGAGTGAATACCATTGATCCAAGAACGTATTTCTATCTGAGAAAATTCTTGGGTAAAGCTAGGTCATCTGGGCAGGATGTGGCTCTTGTGTCAACTTGGGTAAGCATTATTTGATGAAGCCATTGTAAGGCACACAACGTTTTGGAGTACATCCTTATTCTTCATCAGAGGAGGTAACTTTGTTTATACATGTTATTTCATCTGGCCTCTTGGGATGTGGCTTACAAGTCTTGCCCAGCAATGATGCAGTCAGAAATTGTGTTCTAAATTTTAAGTTTACAAATCAATACAAATCGTTACAAGGGAATTACAATGGCTGTACAAAATATTTGGCTGTAAAAACTAAATGGTAATATAATATGAACAGTGATTATAGCAGTAATGACTGATGATAATATTCACCTGACTGTAACACTGGTCAAGCTTCCACAATAGGCTTAGTCAAAGAATCTTGGGTGAACATTCACACGACTGCTGGTCTGTCTTGTAATTTGAGATGTAATGTTAGCAAGGTATGAGTAAGCTTCTCTCATATACAATAAACCTTCCAAAACATTCTCTCTGGGTCAGACTTCACTGGAATATTCCCTCAAAGCGTTTTTATTAAGGCTGTTCCACCAGTTGTATGAAACTGTATCTTGTATATTATTTCATGATTATATACTGTAAGAGGCAGCTAGCAATATTACGTGGTCAGACTTGCTGACTAGGTTGACACTTGTCATTGTATCCCAGTTGCTCATGCTGTTCATCACTGGATTGTCTGGTCCAGACTCCATTATTTACACATCGATATACCTGGGATATTGCTGAGTGCAACAACAAACCAACTATGATTGTATACACTTGCAAGAGCTACTGAACAGCCAAGAGTTAGATATTAAGTGATACATAAACTGCATTTTACAGGCATGCGGCCTCTTAATGTTTGGAATATAGAGTGATTGCTGTTTACAATACATTTTGTACCTGAAGCATCTGTGTAATAATGTGTGTCATTGATTCCACTTGGTTCATATTGACTCAGATACAAGATATAGATGAGGCACGCTATATGTACGCACGTGGTGATGTCATGCCATTTAACATCAACAATGTTGACGTAACTGTATCAGCGAATACCATATATGGAATCACATCAGCGATAGTGGCTGGACTACTTCATCCCAAGATCTTAGATGATGCTGATGTGCAGGTAGAGTAACACCATGCAGTCATGTTGTCCAAAGGCTTTATAGTCTTTATACTATCTTGTCAGTTCTTCTAGGGTATGTGTTCCCATCTTTATTGTCCTATCTTGTCAGTTGTACTAGGGTATGTGTTCCCAGTTTTATAGTCCTATCTTGTCAGTTGTACTAGGGTATGTGTTCCCAGTTTTATAGTCCTATCCTGTCAGTTGTCCTTGGGTATGTGTTCACACCTTTATAGTCCTATCTTGTCAGTTGTCCTGGGGTATGTGTTCCCATCTTTATTGTCCTATCTTGTCAGTTGTACTAGTGTATGTGTTCCCAGTTTTATAGTCCTATCTTGTCAGTTGTCCTTGGGTATGTGTTCACACCTTTATAGTCCTATCTTGTCAGTTGTCCTGGGGTATGTGTTTCCATCTTTATAGTCCTATCTTGTCCCTTGTCCTAGGGTATGTGTTCCAATCTTTATGGTCCTATCTTGTCAGTTGTCCTAAAGGCTTTATAGTCCTATCATCAGTTAGTCCTATCTTGGGGATATGTGTTCCAATCTTTATGGTCCTATCTTGTCAGTTGTCCTAAAGTATATGTTTCCATCTTTATAGTCCTATTATGACAGTTGTCCAAGAGTATGTATTCCCATCTTTATAGTCCTATCTTGTCACTTGTCCTTGGGTATGTATTCCCGGTTTTATAGTCCTATGTTGACAGTTGTCCTAGTGTATGTGTTCTCATCTTTATAGTCCTATCTTGTCAGTTGTCCTCGGGTATGTGTTCCCAGTTTTATAGTCCTATGTTGACAGTTGTCCTGGTGTATGTGTTCCCAGTTTTATAGTATGTATTCCCATCTTTATAGTCCTATCTTGTCACTTGTCCTTGGGTATGTATTCCCGGTTTTATAGTCCTATGTTGACACTTGTCCTAGTGTATGTGTTCCCATCTTTATAGTCCTATCTTGTCAGTTGTCCTCGGGTATGTGTTCCCAGTTTTATAGTCCTATGTTGACAGTTGTCCTGGTGTATGTGTTCCCAGTTTTATAGTATGTATTCCCATCTTTATAGTCCTATCTTGTCACTTGTCCTGGGGTATGTGTTCCCGGTTTTATAGTCCTATGTTGACACTTGTCCTAGAGTATGTGTTCCCAGTTTTATAGTCCTATCTTGTCAGTTCTTCTAGGGTATGTGTTCCCATCTTTATAGTCCTATTTTGTCAGTTGTCCTGGGGTATGTGATCCCGGTTTTATAGTATGTATTCCCATCTTTATAGTCCTATCTTGTCACTTGTCCTAGAGTATGTGTTCCCAGTTTTATAGTCCTATGTTGTTTCCCCAGTTTATAGTAGTTCTATCTTTTGATCAGTTGTCCCATGTTGACACTTGTCCTAGTGTGTGTTCCCAGTTTTATAGTCCTATCTTGTCAGTTCTTCTAGGGTATGTGTTCCCATCTTTATAGTCCTATTTTGTCAGTTGCCCTGGGGTATGTGTTCCCGGTTTTATAGAATGTATTCCCATCTTTATAGTCCTATCTTGTCAGTTGTCCTAGTGTATGTGTTCCCAGTTTTATAGTCCTATCTTGACAGTTGTCCTAGAGTATGTATTCCCATCTTTATAGTCCTATTTTGTCAGTTGTCCTGGGGTATGTGTTCCCGGTTTTATAGTATGTATTCCCATCTTTATAGTCCTATCTTTTCAGTTGTCCTAGTGTATGTGTTCCCAGTTTTATAGTCCTATCTTGACAGTTGTCCTGGGGTATCTGTTCCCATCTTTATAGTACTATCTTGTTAGTTGTCCTAGTGTATGAGTTCCCATCTTTATAGTCCTATCTTGTCAGTTGTCCTAGAGTATGTGTTCCCGGTTTTATAGTTTCATCTGTTTGCCAAAGATACTTGTTCATGCATAAATACTCTTGTCTTGACAGATGACTTAGCTGATGCATTAGTTACTTTGGTGGTATTGTACATATTATGAAAAAGAAACTAGATTGTGTTTTTGATAAATCTACTCAGTTCTAAACTATGTGCTCTGTAGACGAAAAAGACTTAATTTACCTTATTGTTACTGTTGGTACTATTTGCAACCAAAATTTGCGTATGTGTCAACTTTCATAATACTCCAGAAACAAGAAACATTTCGTGATGACTGTATTTTCTAATTGCAGAAGATATACCTAAACACAACATCAATGTTGATCTGTGAGATCAGCAGCAACATGACAGATAGGAGGGATCTGGCACTCACATACTACCCGTCCTTATTTGAGTTCTACTGGTTCGTGTCAAGAACTGTATTCTTGATCAACACAAAGATCCGCACAGGACCACTGCCACATCAGGTTACCTCAAGTCTATGTACATGCTACAGGACTAACCCTTACTTATTCTTTGACCCGTGGGTTAGAATGAACCTTCAGTAACCCATGCTTGTCGTAAGAGTCGACTAATGGGATCAGGTGGTCAGGCTCGCTGGCTTGGTTGACACATGTCATCGGTTCCCAATTGCGCAGGTCGATACTCATACTGTTGATCACTGGATTGTCTGGTCCAGACTCGATTATTTACAGACCACCGCCATATAGCTGGAATATTGCTGAGTGCAGCGTAAAACTAAACTCGCTCACTTATTCTTTGGCCCCTGAGAAGATCCGGGTTAGAAGTGATCTTCAGTAACCCATGCTTGTCGTAAGAGGCGACTAGGCTTGCTGAGGTGAGGCTGACCAACCCTTACTTATTCTTTGCCCCGTGGGTTAGAATGACCCTTCAGTAACCCAGACCGTATAGCTGGGCCCACTTGCACAGAACGATCTTAGCGCTACAATTATTGTAATTCCTTAAGATCGCGATCTTAGGCTTCGGTTACAATCGCCATCTACTTGCACAAAGCAATTGTAGGCTAAGATCATTGTAAGTTACAATCAAAACTTACAATTGGTCCAGACCAATTGTAAGGAGCTAAGATCATTTTAGTCATTTTAGAAATGGCATTCAAATTAGTGTCTGTTTCACGCAAATAATCAGCTTTACGTTTGGAGATTGCATTTATATTGCATAAAACTGTGTGGTTCGCCTCGACACTTCAACAACACGGAGAATGCACAACCGATTTAACGTCGGATGCATTGTTATTTACTGTAGTGAAACACATAACTATCGAGTCGATATCACAAAGTACTATTCCCACCCGATTCAATGTTGGAATAAGTGTGAAACAACATACCTTCTTGATAATCAAGGAAAGGATAATAGTGAATGGTGTCCGCGTGCGATTAACAATGGCCGTGACCTTTTCATTAACTCAAGAGCAGATAATTTTACTTTATATGCAAGATGAGAGTGGTTTCCTTTGGCATATGCCGTTGCCGTACAGTCTGTCATGCCCATTGCAGAGCTCAACATACTGATATCTCTTTTCGGTCATGGAGTGATTTTGTCAAAGTAATCTACAAGTAGATACAAGTTAACGTGCAAAATCAAGTTTCTTTCTCATCCATAAATCTAAATTTGATTATGCAATTTAAATATATACAAGTAGTCATCGAATAGGGATATACACATGATGAGGCATTAAAAATATTTATCAACGCAATAGGGTTAAATAATTAATATACTGTGAATACGTATTTAATAACTACTCTCTTGAAATATTATTTAATACACGTATTTCCCTGCCATGCATTCTTTACAACACTTCTGTAGCCATTATTTTATTGTATTTTATTCTCGGATATATTTAGGATTTTACAACCACCCCAACCCCACCGCCACCAACAGCTGCGTATTAAACAATGTCTCATTGACAACCATTGGCAAATCATACATTTAGGTGTTATATCATAAGGAAATACTGTTTATATTTGTTATTTTAAGTTCCATAATTAAGTCACTAAATCTAGATTCAAATTATTTCATGTATTTTTTCGTATTTCAGTATTTTCATAAAACATGGGTAGGTATTTCTGTGGTTGCAATATCACATTCTCAGTTCATAAATCAAGACAGTTAGAATGTAGAAAAAATATATGCTATCGTCCACGAATCGGTTCCTTCTAAGATTTCTGGGACTTTTCATGAAAATTCTGCAAGGTGCGATTGAGGGAGGTATGTATTGTGTGCTGGGACCAGTATCACTTTTTATTTGCGCAGCATGCTATGCGCACTTTCAGACAACTGTAGACAGGAGTCGAGTTTAAGAAATTCGTACCTCCACCGTTGAAGAGTTCGATCTTAGCTAAGATCGCGATCTTAAATACATGCCGTCTTACAATCGCTCTAAGATCGGCTTTGTGCAAGTGGATTAGGGCAATTGTATGGCGATTGTTAAGTTGATTGTAGGGGCCTAAGATTGATTGTAACTAAGATTGCTCTGTGCAAGTGGGCCCTGGACTATTGCTCACTTGTTCTTTGGGGTGCGAGGGAAGGGCTGAGATTGTCTTTTTAAATTCCGATTATATTCCAGGAGTATCTGCAATGGGTAAATGATATAGGACAATCAAGGATCAACAATTTGCAAACCTACTCTTTCAACAGTAACTCATCCAGTGTAATGACACATAAGAAACTGATTATGTATAATTCACCACTTTATTTTTGTAATGAAATATACAAAATGTACAGAGTACTATACATGATATCTACGTATCTGTGACAGCAAGATTGTGTGAGGTGAGCTAGGGGAAACAGGAACAACATGGGATAATGAAATATATGTCTAGGCTCACCTGTAAACAATCATCATTCATGAGTCACTCAAAAGCAAGCAGGAACTTGATTCAGACTGAATTTACTTCTCATGGTAAAACCTACAGAAATGTGGTTGATCCAGGCCATATAATGACATGTCCATCTGTTTAACTCATGAATCTCTCTGTTCAGCTGTTGTACCGTGTTGGAGCTGACCTGACTAGCGTCCTCCGTGGGGCCATGACGCAAGCCATCTTATTGGCTGGGAGATCACAGGAAGACACCATGTATTTTGATGACTTTCTTGGGGACGGAGACACAACAAAAGATAACAAGACTCTAGTAAGCATGACATTTGACCCCCGGCCCCCCTGGGACCTGGGCAAGATAGCCAGACAGCAGTGGTGTGAGGAGACTACGAGGGATCGGTATGATCAGGGTCTGTTCATGGTTGGGTGGTGGTCATCGGCATCTGATGCTCTTCATAAAGTTAACCATGCATTAGTCTGTCTACAGTTTTATTATATACAGGTCATTGTTATATTGCTGGAAATACTGACTGTGTCATTAAACAACCAAGTACTGTGTGTACCTCTATTCATTCATGTGACATGGAAGCAACGTGATTCATGATCCACACTAGCAGTGGATATGTAAATACCATCAACTGTTGACAGCAGTTCATTATGTTGCCATCATAGTGTCTAGCTTCATTCATATAGCCAAATAATTATATGACATGGTAAGTATTCTTTAATTTGAACAACATGGATTCATTGATGGGCATTTTCTGATCACGGTGGAGAGATTGAAGTGTAATTGTATGTCTGTCTCGTGTTGAAGATCAATGGCGAGGACCGCATATTCACAACAACAATGGCAACCAATGCTCTCATCCAAACGTGGGCATTTTTTGATGAGACACAGGGGAAGTTGTTCTGGACGAAAGGTAAATATGACTTGCCGAAACATCAGGGACTGCAGTAACCAGCTTCTTGGCCAACATTCCCAGATCTGACCTACACATTTGTATATTATTAATCCTGTTACAGACTACCTGCAGCATCTGTGTGTAAAATATGGGTGCAGACTATCCCTCACTATGTTTCATATTACCAACACATCGTCTGTGCAGCATGCATCAAAACCATTTTCCACTCTTAACTGGTTGATGAACCATGAATTCATCATGTTACAGAGACACCTACGTCTGTTAGGACGACTGTGGAAAAATCTGTTCTGTGGCTGGTCAACAATGTGCTAACAGGACAGTACAAGCCTTGGAATGCCTTTTTCTCGGGGTCAGGGAAAGGTCATGAGGTACATTGACATATTTTCTACATTGTGATCTGTGTCCTTATTAGCACCACAGATAAGTTGTCTGTGGACATCCTGCCAGTGTACCGAAAGGTATGGAGTTCACCTGCTATAGGCTATGTATTACATGTGTTGTGTTCACCCAGTATAGGTTCTGTATGGAGTTCACCTGCTATAGGCTATGTATTACATGTGTTGTGTTAACCCAGTATAGGTTCTGTATGGAGTTCACCTGCTATGGGCTATGTATTACGTGTGTTGTGTTCACCCAGTATAGGTTCTGTATGGAGTTCACCTGCTATAGGCTATGTATTACATGTGTTGTGTTCACCCAGTATAGGTTCTGTATGGAGTTCACCTGCTATAGGCTATGTATTACATGTGTTGTGTTCACCCAGTATAGGTTCTGTATGGAGTTCACCTGCTATAGGCTATGTATTACATGTGTTGTGTTCACCCAGTATAGGTTCTGTATGGAGTTCACCTGCTATAGGCTATGTATTACATGTGTTGTGTTCACCCAGTATAGGTTCTGTATGGAGTTCACCTGCTATAGGCTATGTATTACGTGTGTTGTGTTCACCCAGTATAGGTTCTGTATGGAGTTCACCTGCTATTGGCTATGTATTACATGTGTTGTGTTCACCCAGTATAGGTTCTGTATGGAGTTCACCTGCTATGGGCTATGTATTACATGTGTTGTGTTCACCCAGTATAGGTTCTGTATGGAGTTCACCTGCTATAGGCTATGTATTACATGTGTTGTGTTCACCCAGTATAGGTTCTGTATGGAGTTCACCTGCTATAGGCTATGTATTACGTGTGTTGTGTTCACCCAGTATAGGTTCTGTATGGAGTTCACCTGCTATAGGCTATGTATTACGTGTGTTGTGTTCACCCAGTATAGGTTCTGTATGGAGTTCACCTGCTATAGGCTATGTATTACATGTGTTGTGTTCACCCAGTATAGGTTCTGTATGGAGTTCACCTGCTATATAGGCTATGTATTACAGTATGTGTTGTGTCACCTCACCCAGTATAGGTTCTGTATGGAGTTCACCTGCTATAGGCTATGTATTACATGTGTTGTGTTCACCCAGTATAGGTTCTGTATGGAGTTCACCTGCTATTGGCTATGTATTACATGTGTTGTGTTCACCCAGTATAGGTTCTGTATGGAGTTCACCTGCTATTGGCTATGTATTACATGTGTTGTGTTCACCCAGTATAGGTTCTGTATGGAGTTCACCTGCTATAGGCTATGTATTACATGTGTTGTGTTCACCCAGTATAGGTTCTGTATGGAGTTCACCTGCTATAGGCTATGTATTACATGTGTTGTGTTCACCCAGTATAGGTTCTGTATGGAGTTCACCTGCTATAGGCTATGTATTACATGTGTTGTGTCACCCAGTATAGGTTCTGTATGGAGTTCACCTGCTATAGGCTATGTATTACAGTGTGTTGTGTTCACCCAGTATAGGTTCTGTATGGAGTTCACCTGCTATAGGCTATGTATTACGCGGTGTTGTGTTCACCCAGTATAGGTTCTGTATGGAGTTCACCTGCTATTGGCTATGTATTACGTATGCACGTGTGTGTTGTGTTCACCCAGTATAGGTTCTGTATGGAGTTCACCTGCTATAGGCTATGTATTACATGTGTTGTGTTCACCCAGTATAGGTTCTGTATGGAGTTCACCTGCTATTGGCTATGTATTACATGTGTTGTGTTCACCCAGTATAGGTTCTGTATGGAGTTCACCTGCTATTGGCTATGTATTACGTGTGTTGTGTTCACCCAGTATAGGTTCTGTATGGAGTTCACCTGCTATAGGCTATGTATTACATGTGTTGTGTTCACCCAGTATAGGTTCTGTATGGAGTTCACCTGCTATAGGCTATGTATTACGTGTGTTGTGTTCACCCAGTATAGGTTCTGTATGGAGTTCACCTGCTATAGGCTATGTATTACATGTGTTGTGTTCACCCAGTATAGGTTCTGTATGGAGTTCACCTGCTATTGGCTATGTATTATAGGCTATGTATTGTGTTGTGTTCACCCAGTATAGGTTCTGTATGGAGTTCACCTGCTATTGCTATCTATGTATTACATGTGTTGTGTTCACCCAGTATAGGTTCTGTATGGAGTTCACCTGCTATAGGCTATGTATTACGTGTGTTGTGTTCACCCAGTATAGGTTCTGTATGGAGTTCACCTGCTATAGGCTATGTATTACATGTGTTGTGTTCACCCAGTATAGGTTCTGTATGGAGTTCACCTGCTATAGGCTATGTATTACGTGTGTTAGGTTAATGGAGTTCACCCAGTATAGGTTCTGTATGGAGTTCACCTGCTATATGGGCTATGTATTACATGTGTTGTGTTCACCCAGTATAGGTTCTGTATGGAGTTCACCTGCTATAGGCTATGTATTACTGTGTGTTGTGTTCACCCAGTATAGGTTCTGTATGGAGTTCACCTGCTATAGGCTATGTATTACATGTGTTGTGTTCACCCAGTATAGGTTCTGTATGGAGTTCACCTGCTATAGGCTATGTATTACGTGTGTGTTGTGTTAACCCAGTATAGGTTCTGTATGGAGTTCACCTGCTATAGGCTATGTATTACATGTGTTGTGTTCACCCAGTATAGGTTCTGTATGGAGTTCACCTGCTATAGGCTATGTATTACGTGTGTTGTGTTCACCCAGTATAGGTTCTGTATGGAGTTCACCCTATGCTATGGGTGCGGTGTGTATCCAGTATAGGTGTGTTGTGTTCACCCAGTATAGGTTCTGTATGGAGTTCACCTGCTATGGGCTATGTATTCGTGTGTTGTGTTCACCCAGTATAGGTTCTGTATGGAGTTCACCTGCTATAGGCTATGTATTACATGTGTTGTGTTCACCCAGTATAGGTTCTGTATGGAGTTCACCTGTATTATAGTGTTGTGTTGTATGGGTTCTGTGTGGAGTTCACCCATGGGCTATAGGTTCTGTATGGAGTTCACCCTGTATATTGTTCACCTGCTATGTATGTATTATGTGTGTTGTGTTCACCCAGTATGGGTTCTGTATGGAGTTCACCTGCTATAGGCTATGTATTACATGTGTTGTGTTCACCCAGTATAGGTTCTGTATGGAGTTCACCTGCTATGGGCTATGTATTACGTGTGTTGTGTTCACCCAGTATAGGTTCTGTATGGAGTTCACCTGCTATAGGCTATGTATTACTATGTATTGCATGTGTGTTGTGTTCACCCAGTATAGGTTCTGTATGGAGTTCACCTGCTATAGGCTATGTATTACGTGTGTTGTGTTCACCCAGTATAGGTTCTGTATGGAGTTCACCTGCTATAGGCTATGTATTACTGTGTGTTGTGTTCACCCAGTATAGGTTCTGTATGGAGTTCACCTGCTATAGGCTATGTATTACGTGTGTTGTGTTCACCCAGTATAGGTTCTGTATGGAGTTCACCTGCTATAGGCTATGTATTACATGTGTTGTGTTCACCCAGTATAGGTTCTGTATGGAGTTCACCTGCTATAGGCTATGTATTACGTGTGTTGTGTTCACCCAGTATATTCTGTATGGGTTCTGTATGGAGTTCACCTGCTATAGGCTATGTATTACATGTGTTGTGTTCACCCAGTATAGGTTCTGTATGGAGTTCACCTGCTATAGGCTATGTATATGCGTGTGTTGTGTGGAGTTCACCCAGTATAGGTTCTGTATATAGGGAGTTCACCTGCTATAGGCTATGTATTACGTGTGTGTTGTGTTCACCCAGTATAGGTTCTGTATGGAGTTCACCTGCTATAGGCTATGTATTACATGTGTTGTGTTCACCCAGTATAGGTTCTGTATGGAGTTCACCTGCTATAGGCTATGTATTACGTGTGTTGTGTTCACCCAGTATAGGTTCTGTATGGAGTTCACCTGCTATAGGCTATGTATTAGGCATGTGTTGTGTTCACCCAGTATAGGTTCTGTATGGAGTTCACCTGCTATAGGCTATGTATTACATGTGTTGTGTTCACCCAGTATAGGTTCTGTATGGAGTTCACCTGCTATAGGCTATGTATTACACGTGTGTTGTGTTCACCCAGTATAGGTTCTGTATGGAGTTCACCTGCTATATTGGCTATGTATTACGTGTGTTGTGTTCACCCAGTATAGGTTCTGTATGGAGTTCACCTGCTATTGGCTATGTATTACGTGTGTTGTGTTCACCCAGTATAGGTTCTGTATGGAGTTCACCTGCTATTGGCTATGTATTACGTGTGTTGTGTTCACCCAGTATAGGTTCTGTATGGAGTTCACCTGCTATTGGCTATATGTATTACGTGTGTTGTGTTCACCCAGTATATAGGTTCTGTATGGAGTTCACCTGCTATAGGCTATGTATTACGTGTGTTGTGTTCACCCAGTATAGGTTCTGTATGGAGTTCACCTGCTATAGGCTATGTATTACATGTGTTGTGTTCACCCAGTATAGGTTCTGTATGGAGTTCACCTGCTATAGGCTATGGATTACGTGTGTTGTGTTCACCCAGTATAGGTTCTGTATGGAGTTCACCTGCTATAGGCTATGTATTACGTGTGTTGTGTTCACCCAGTATAGGTTCTTTATGGAGTTCACCTGCTATAGGCTATGTATTACATGTGTTGTGTTCACCCAGTATAGGTTCTGTATGGAGTTCACCTGCTATAGGCTATGTATTACGTTTGTTGTGTTCACCCAGTATAGGTTCTGTATGGAGTTCACCTGCTATTGACTATGTATTACGTGTGTTGTGTTCACCCAGTATAGGTTCTGTATGGAGTTCACCTGCTATTGGCTATGTATTACGTGTGTTGTGTTCACCCAGTATAGGTTCTGTATGGAGTTCACCTGCTATTGGCTATGTATTACGTGTGTTGTGTTCACCCAGTATAGGTTCTGTATGGAGTTCACCTGCTATAGGCTATGTATTACGTGTGTTGTGTTCAACCAGTATAGGTTCTGTATGGAGTTCACCTGCTATGGGCTATGTATTACGTGTGTTGTGTTCACCCAGTATAGGTTCTGTATGGAGTTCACCTGCTATAGGCTATGTATTACATGTGTTGTGTTCACCCAGTATAGGTTCCGTATGGAGTTCACCTGCTATAGGCTATGTATTCGTGTGTTGTGTTCACCGAGTATAGGTTCTGTATGGAGTTCACCTGCTATTGGCTATGTATTACGTGTGTTGTGTTCACCCAATATAGGTTCTGTATGGAGTTCACCTGCTATAGGCTATGTATTACGTGTGTTGTGTTCACCCAGTATAGGTTCTGTATGGAGTTCACCTGCTATGGGCTATGTATTACGTGTGTTGTGTTCACCCAGTATAGGTTCTGTATGGAGTTCACCTGCTATGGGCTATGTATTACGTGTGTTGTGTTCACCCAGTATAGGTTCTGTATGGAGTTCACCTGCTATAGGCTATGTATTACATGTGTTGTGTTCACCCAGTATAGGTTCTGTATGGAGTTCGCCTGCTATAGGCTATGTATTACATTTGTTGTGTTCACCCAGTATAGGTTCAGTATGGAGTTCACCTGCTATATTACATCCATCTTGTCCACCGAAATAGGTAGTATTACGTGCATCTTGTCCACCGAAATAGGTAGTGTATTACGTCCATCTTGTCCACCGATATAGGTAGTGTATTATGTCCATCTTGTCCACTGATACAGTTCATGTATTACGTCCATCTTGTCCACCGAAATAGGTAGTGTATTACGTCCATCTTGTCCACTGAAATAGGTAGTGGATTACGTTGATCTTGTCCACCGAAATAGGTAGTGTATTACGTGCATCTTGTCCACCAATATAGGTAGTGTATTACGTCCAAGTTGTTCACCGAAATAGGTAGTGTATTACGTCCATCTTGTCCACCGAAATAGGAAGTGTATTACGTCCATCTTGTCCACTGATATAGGTAGTGTATTACATCCATCTTGTCCACTGATATAGGTATCGTATTACATCCATCTTGTCCACCGAAATAGGTGGTGTATTACGTCCATCTTGTCCACCGAAATTGGTAGTGTATTACGTCCATCTTGTCCACCGATATAGGTAGTGTATTACGTCCATCTTGTCCACTGATACAGTTAATGTATTACGTCCATCTTGTCAACCGAAATAGGTAGTGTATTACGTCCATCTTGTCCACTGAAATAGGTAGTGGATTACGTTGATCTTGTCCACTGAAATAGGTAGTGTATTACGTGCATCTTGTCCACCAATATAGCTAGTGTATTACGTCCAAGTTGTTCACCGAAATAGGTAGTGTATTACGTCCATCTTGTCCACCGAAATAGGTAGTGTATTACGTCCATCTTGTCCACCGATATAGGTAGTGTATTACGTCCATCTTGTCCACTGATACAGTTAATGTATTACGTCCATCTTGTCCACCGAAATATGTTTTGTATTACGTCCATCTTGTCCACTGAAATAGGTAGTGGATTATGTTGATCTTGTCCACCGAAATAGGTAGTCTATTACGTCCATGTTGTCCACCGAAATAGGTAGTGTATTACGTCCATCTTGTCCACTGATATAGGTAGTGTATTACCTGCATCTTGTCCACCAAAATAGGTAGTGTATTATGTCCATCTTGTCCACTGTCTTACGTTACCAGTCCTGTGTAATGTTTATTATGTGTACCTATTAACTGGTGGGTATTTTGTTTGTTGTGTTCACTTGGTAGGGGGCCTGTGTTTCGTTTGTCACATGTTAGTCTGCTGCATATATTATGTTCATCATGTTGGTGTTGTACAATCTCACTAAATCTCCCGACAGAGCATGCCCTTCTGGTATCCTGTGAACCGGATGGAATACCTGAATGGCACCAAGATTCCTGATGACAAACACTTCCCGTCGTCCCCCTTTATATCCGGCTTCCAAGGTGTAGTATCAGAGGACAGATACCTGGAGATGTGCCAACAAGAACATTTCGGTCAGAAGACTCCGATGACTTTTTCTGGCTACAATGCTGGACGTGGTTACTTCCCCTTCTGGACGTCGGATGCGTATACCTATGCATCCACTGTCCTGGCCATCTCCCAATACAACAACATACATGTGGAATAAGTGTCACCCTGTAATATCAATGTACTGCTCAGTTTATGACAAATACCAGGAGATCATTACGTGTGTGTGAAGTGTTGTCTTTTATACAAATTGTCAATAATATCACATCTCCACACACTCAGGAAAATATTCATTCCGCGATAAAGCAATGGCAGGTAAACAAACCCAGTCCCTGTTTCCATTACATTACTGCGATCCTGTGAAAAAACTGTCACTTTTGTAGATAGAAAATGCACATTATACCATTATATATTTGTATGTGCCCATTCAACTATCATTGGAAACTTTACATTCCAAATGCCTACACTAAAAATCCCTGGATGTATGAATTACAACAAATATGTAAAAGCCAGTCTTATTGTGTCGAGGAAACATGGTTTTGTAAATGAGTACTGGAAAAATTTAAAAGCTTGTAAATATGTTTATATCTGTGTGCCGTTATCATAATCACTGTCCCTTGTTAAGCTGGATATGCTATGAAAGTAACCCTGAGTGTAAATAAAGTTCTGTTGTGTTCTGTTCTGTTCACTGTAATGCATTTTTGCAATAGGAGTCTTATTATGGAGCAAGACAAGAAACACAATTATGTACCTCTGTCCTGTGTCTGTGGCCTGTACGATGTCACTGTGGCATATACGATGTCAATGTGGCCTGTATGATGTCACTGTGGCCAATATGATGTCACTGTGGCCTATATGATGTCACTGTGGCAGCTGCAGAATGGGAATTATTTTAAATCTTTCATTAAATTTTGCACATTACCGTGATTACGTTGAAGGTAACTCATGTATGAGCACCAAATGCAATGGATACAGAGTATTGTCTAGTTTCAGGAAGTCTTAAAATTGAGTGGATATCTGTATACTTTGACGCAGTTCAGTGGTTCACTGGACCATGTCCATGTGTAACGGGAATTATTCCACTCCGCACATGGCATCTCTCAATAAAATTACTGGTTGTTATCCTCAAAGAGTAACGACAAAAGGCTTTATGTGATTATAAACACTTGTATATGCAAAGCAGGCACAGCATACCAATCTCAGCAGTTGCGCAGCAACTACTATCCAGTAGATGAACTCAACTAGTGCCAGCACAGGTCTCCTTACTTGACGCACCCATCACAGGTAAACGTTGGCCACAGCAGAAGTCGGGGGTTGGTTGTGGTCCTCAAGAATAGACATGTGCACTGGGCGGTGGGACCTCCGGCGAAGGTACCCACTGTGACGGGGCTGCACAACAGAAGGCTGGTGGCTGCCGTGCCAGCTTCGGATGCGCCTGTAACGACTGACGCGGTTAACGTGCTGTGTTCTTGCCATGTATAGGATCAGCATCGACACTGGAAAAAACACAAGTAGTTCATGTTATCAGTGAGCCCTGCTTATCAACAGAAGGTAGGTCGCTAACACAGCATTTAATGGTATGTCCCTGTTCAACCAAGCCATCGGTTCTGGTATTGGAGTATATAATCATGTAGAAAGCCCATGTACAACTCCAGCAACAGCCAGTCACAAGTATATCATGTATTAATGCAAAGTTCTGATTCTCAGTAAGTACATGTAATCAAGGGTATTATCGGGCATGCTCTCACTAAATTCTGATATTGAATATTGTAGATATCGCTATCTTTTTATCGCCACATAAACGTTTGTAAACAAGCAAGAAGGTTTGAATCTCCAAATACTGTGAGAGACAGCATCGAGACGTCCTGCAAAAATGTTTTGACTGAAGGCATATACTTGTATCCAGAGTCACTCATGTGAAATTCTTAACGACGGCAATGAGACTTGTTCATTGTGATAAGTAAATGCTTACCAAACAAAAGCACATGTCCTATGAGACCCATATCAGGTTATCCTGACAGCAACTCGTTCGCTCGGAATAAGTATCAAACATCAGTCACGTGGCACGTGAAACAAATCAGCTGTTATGTGCCTTTTCGCAGTTTTATCATCATGCTTTCTTTCATGTGGTTAACTGCCATATAAGCCCTTCCGGAAAATATTATCTGAAAAAATAAAAATAAGATTCTGAAATTATAGTTTTGTTCAAGGAAAGTTACGCGTCCTCCAACAGCGCTCAGTATTGGTCTCGGCTCCATGTTGTGAAGGCTGCCGACCATCACTGCAGGCTATCTCGGCGAGGCACGTAGGCCCTGTCGTCTTTCACGTAGGATTGGCAATATTGCAACTCTGTTATAATTTTATAATTTTAAAAAATGCCATTACATGTATTTATTTGGTCTAAATGTAGAAAAAGTCATTTGCTTGTTCAGTTGAAAAGATGTGTACACGAACAAATATGTGTAATTTACTATATGCTCCAGGATCAGTTAGTGACATGCTGTATGCCATAAAGAAGACACTGAAACAACGAGGTGAAGAAGAATGGTTTACGGAACTGTGGAATGACAAAAACACTGAAAATGGAAATATATTAAGAACTTATGGACTTTACAAGAAGGATCTTAAAACAGAAATATACGTTAGACATATCACCTCTCGCCAGAAAAGAAAGACATTAAGTCGATTTAGATCATATTGCATATTGAAACTGGATGTTTTTTGTAAATCCCCTACTCCTATTCACCCGAGAACCTGTCCCTTTGAATAATATACCCATGAATAATGTATATATAATTTATTCATTAATGTAATGAGTCTTCAAAACTTTGAATTTATTAAATTGTTATCTAATACTATATCCAAAATGTTTCATAGGCGTAACTTACATACAGTTGGGTAATTTATAACATTTTATTGTTATTTAATGCTTTAATATCTGTGTATGTGTTTGTATGTATGTATATGTGTATGTATGTATGTGTGTGTATGTATGTATGTATATATACTAGGCACATAAAGAAACTGCATACAAATATTTAAAATCTAAATTTATCAAACCTGTGTAGACACATAAGGATTTAAACTCAGAGATTAGTGACATGTATCCAACATGCATGCACGTGCCACGTTCCGTGACGTCAGTGGGTTCGTCCTTGAGACGTGCAATACGTTGTTGCACGTGCATTCCGGGAAAGAGAAACAGAGCAAATGAATGCCACACAACACTGTCACTTTGGAAAGCTCAACCCCTGCCCTTGCGATCGTTCAAAGAATTAAACGGCTTTTGAAACGCATGGCATGCCAAGGCTCACATCTGCACAGCGTCATGAGGCCATTGGGATGGTCCGTGGGGGAATGTCTCAACGACAAGTGGCTGCACATTTCCACTGCCACCGGAACACCATTTCTGCACTGGTGAGACGCTACCAGAACACAAATGACGTCATCGATCGGCCACGTCCTGGACGTCCACGTGTAACAACGCCAAGACAGGACATATGGATAAGGGTGACCGATCTTCGCCACAGGTTTCAGACTGCAGTGATGACTGCCCGAACCATCCCAGGACTTCGCCGTATCCACCCAAACACAGTTCGACAACGTTTACGTCATCACGGGATCAGACCACGACGTCCCGCCATACGGCCTATCCTGACACAACGTCATCGACAAGCTCGCCGAATGTGGTGCCGAAATCATGTCCGCAGACCCTTGTTTTGGTGGAGAAATGTTGTTTTTACAGATGAGTCCAGGTTTAACATTTCCCATAGTGATGGACGTCAACGTGCCTATAGACGCGTGGGAGAACGTTGTGCACAGGCCTGTGTCTTGGAGAGGAATCGCTTTGGTTGTGGTTCCGTGATGATTTGGGGTGGAATAACAGCACGCCAAAGAACTCCTTTGGTGACTGTTCAGGGCAACTTAACTGGTGTGGGCTACAGGGATCAGATTCTTCGACCTGTGGCAATTCCTTTTTTGCAACGTCATGGCCCTGGGTTAACATTCCAACAGGACAATGCCTGCCCTCATACGGCAAGGGTTGCTATGGACTTCTTGCAACATCACAACGTTGACTTACTGCCTTGGCCTGCAAATTCACCGGATCTCTCCCCGATAGAGCATGTTTGGGACGAGATGGATCGACGTCTACGCCGTCTTCCTCATCCGCCAGATAATGTCCTTGACCTTGCAACAGAACTTGAGAGAATCTGGCGTGACATCCCACAAGCCTTCCTTGCACGTTTGATAGGCTCTATGCGTCGTCGATGCACTGCTGTTCTCAATGCCGATGATGGACATACCCGTTATTGAGCTTGTGACATGGTCGTTTGACCCCTGTCCCGCTTGTGGACTCGTGACGTCATTGTGATTGACTTTTCAATTGAAATTCTCCCGACTTGTTATGGTCTCATGATCCTTCCATTAAAGTTTATATGTACCTTTGACATTGTTATCGTACTTATCAACTGGGATAATATTTTGGCAATGCACAGTTTCTTTATATGGCTAGTAATATATATATATATATATATATATATATATATATATATATATATGTGTGTTGTGTGTGTGTATGTATGTATGTGTATGTATAATTTTTTATTAAGTATTTGTGTATGTGTGTATATATATATATGTGTGTGTGTGTGTGTGTGTGTGTGTGTGTATGTATGTCGATTTTTTATTTCATCAGAACAATAAATTTCTATTTTAAAAATGTACTTTTACGATAGAATTAGTTTTTATAGTTCAGTGTCTCGTAAGCCAATTCATGTCTGGATGTCAGTTTCTTCTTTATCCATGAATGGTTATCATGTATGTATTATCCGTGAATGGTTATCATGTATGTATTATCCATGAATGGTTATCATGTATGTATTATCCGTGAATGGTTATCATGTATGTATTATCCATGAATGGTTATCATGTATGTATTATCCATGAATGGTTATCATGTATGTATTATCCGTGAATGGTTATCATGTATGTATTATCCATGAATGGTTATCATGTATGTATTATCCATGAATGGTTATCATGTATGTATTATCCATGAATGGTTATCATGTATGTATTATCCATGAATGGTTATCATGTATGTATTATCCATGAATGGTTATCATGTATGTATTATCCATGAATGGTTATCATGTATGTATTATCCATGAATGGTCATCATGTATGTATTATCCATGAATGGTTATCATGTATGTATTATCCATGAATGGTTATCATGTATGTATTATCCATGAATGATCATGTATGTATTATCCATGAATGGTCATCATGTATGTATTATCCATGAATGCTTATCATGTATGTATTATCCATGAATGGTCATCATGTATGTATTATCCATGAATGGTCATCATGTGAATGGTCATCATGTATGTATTATCCATGAATGGTCATCATGTATGTATTATCCATGAATGGTCATCATGTATGTATTATCCATGAATGGTCATCATGTATGTATTATCCATGAATGGTCATCATGTATGTATTATCCATGAATGGTTTTCATGTATGTATTATCCATGAATGCTTATCATGTATGTATTATCCATGAATGGTCATCATGTATGTATTATCCATGAATGGTCATCATGTATGTATTATCCATGAATGGTCATCATGTATGTATTATCCATGAATGGTTTTCATGTATGTA